CCCCCACCATCCTGAGGACGCATCGCTCGCGACTGGACGGAGCGCTGGAAGGGGGGCAAGGGTTGCCTGACAAATCCTCTGTCCAGTGAAAACCCTCGTGGGCTTTCAGGCGAACAGAGCGCCTGTTCTCGGGAACCCGCTCTGGGTTTCGGACGGACCCTATGGCTCTGTGGAAGTGGGGAAAGTGGAGAAGAACAATTGGCCATGCAGGATATGATGAAACGTTCCTGTTTTGCCGCACCAAAAAAATAGAAGTCGGGAAGATGAGCAGTGCGAGTCACAAACGAAAGCTACGGAAACTTACAGTATACGGTTGAACATGAATGATGAACAGGTTGAGATGGAATTCAACCCAACATCGTGTGTGGCCAGGCCCATGAGATTTTACCGCGAGTTCAGATCGAAAGCCCTGCGAGTTCAGGTCGCTCATGTTCGCCCAGTCTCCATATCCAGCATCTTGAAGAAGGTCCATGCATCCCAAATGTCCTTGGGAATGCACACCGCCTGGCCTCATGAACTCCCCAACAAGGATCCTTTGTGCCCACACCGCACCAGAACAGAGAGACCACACCGCAGGCACCGCACCTCCAAGCGTCACCCAAGACGTGCCATCCGAACTCGCCGACCGGCCAATTACTCGGTCACTCAAAAAGGCGAGTCCGGCTGAGAACTCCAAGGCACCAGGCGGAGGGATTCGAAATAGTCGCGGACCTCCGGCGTGTTGATCTTCTCCTCAAAGACGGGAAAGGTGATGAAGTTCATCTCCTGCCAGTGGGTCGAAAGTACGGGATGGCTTGATGGGTTGGCCGGCACGAACCGGTTCAAAGAGGAAGATCCATCCCCCAAAATGAGGAAGAGTTCTCCCAGTTGAGAATGATGTTCTACACGATGTGAGTTGTTGCGAACCGGTCGTGACGCTTCTCTCAGTTCTGATGGTATCTGCATGGTTTCGTGAAGCATTCGCAAAACTCCCTGTTTGTATTTAGACTAGACGGTTCTGGCATCTTCCGCGAGATGTCAGTCCATTTCTGCCCGTATTTCCGTGACGCCAGGATGCAGTTGCTCAGGCAAGTGCACCAGGGGTAAGTGACGCGCAGCGAAACGAAAGTGCATTTGCATTTGCACGTGAATTTCCATGTTCTGTGAAGCATCAGTCAATGTTTCGACTGCTGTGAGCACCGTCAGCAGCGGGAAGCAGCCTCCATGGTGTCCGGAAATATCATGACGTGTCGAGCGACTTTCGACTGGCATCCTGGAAGCAAACTATCGACTTCATTCTCTACACGGCTTATTCTCTGCTAGTGAATTGCACAGCTTTGGAGGCTATGATGATCCATCTCGAGGTTGTGTGCTTGCAAGTCTTGTCCTTATGTCAAAGTTCACTCCATTTCTGCAAGAGTTCGGGCAAAACAGCTTTGGAACGATCTTTCGCAAGGCTGCGACCCACGCCCGATTCTCCGTTCCAGTTGGACGAGTATTTGTGGCCTCCGCTTCTTGACTTGTATCCCCTCATTTGGCGTTCACTTTCACCTTCTTTCCAGTTCAAGCCGTTCAAGCCTTCTTTCCAGTTCAAGCCGTTCAAGCCCACCCTGTTCTTTGGGGAAACCGGATGTCGACTTTAGTTGAAAAATGGATTTCCTGAAGAAGGAGATGGTGCCACAGAACGCTCCGGGCGCTGAGACTGGGGGTTCTGCTCTGAGACGTATGGCAAACGGTAGGTTAATCACCACACGTGACGTATATAGTATGATATCACCGCAAATTGTATACAACGAAAACTGGAGAAATCCCTCAGGTAACCGTCAAGAGACAATGGCTTTACGCACCAATAGACTAAGAAGAAATATTGATGAAGTGGCATAAAAGTTTCAACCCTCCTGCCCTTGGGGATTGATGTTCTTTTGATGGGCCCTGAAACCTCTTGTAACAAAGTCAACAAGGGACAAGCTACCTGTCAGAGTTGTGCCAAAGAAGGAGAGAAACTGCGGGCCTCAAGGGCATCTATGTACATAAAGCACCAAAACGCTGCAAATGTGAATGAAAGACACCAAAACAGAAGTATAGGAGGGAGGATATACCAAAAATAGATGTATAATATATCATGTCAATCTGATCAAAGTCACCTGCGGCTAAGAATTGAAAAAAGGGTTCTCCTCCTCCTTACCTCCGCCACCAAGGCTTTGGAAGAGCGTCTTGATCTTCGCGAGGTGTGCTTCCTGCTGAGAAAGCTTTGGCACACAGGTCGTGTCCATGTCCATGGCAGCTCAACTTGGAGAATTCGGGCGCTTGCAAAAGCTTACACTCACCAGAAGCTTATCAAGTAAATCAAATCACATACTTAGGAAAATCCGAACTCCAAAACCAACTCCTTATTCTCTAGAATGGACTGCACGATCGCCGCGTGGTCGTTCTGAGCGCTGTCAATCGCACTTTGGCCTCAAAGCGAAAAGTCATGGCTGGCAGAGTTGGTTCGTCGGGTGGTCGTTGATCAAAGGATCTACGGCCGCCAAGGCGGGGCATGGCATGGCAACTTCATGGTAGCTTCTTGTTACTAGTACAGTAGTAAGAATGCTCCTAGTAGCGATGCCAGGAGCCCCTAGTAGCATCCGATCGCTCCTAGTAGTAAGGCCAGGAGCCACCATCGTAGCTCCTTGTTCCTAATAGCTCCTGTATCTGCAGCCACCAAGACAAATCTCACTTGCCATTTTCACAAGGAAGTTTTCCTCTGTGTGCCTTGCACATTTAGTTGCTGACGAGATACAAAACACCCCGGTAACGACCTGGGGAGGAGGAGAAAAAAGTGTGTCTGGCAGGCGTGGCACGAGAAATCCTTTTGGCATGACGGAAGGTCTAAAGAAGATTACAGTAGTTGAAACTACTAGCTGAACTCGCAGGAATCATGCGGAGCGTACTTGCTGAGCGTCTTGAGAGTAACCTTCAGGAGAGTCTTCCATGTGTCTCATGAATTTAGAGCATGACTATGACGATTTTATTGGCCCAGGCCTGAATGAACGTTGCATTGAACAAAGAACAGTTTTGGAGCGCAAAAACAGTTTGCAATTCATCTCCAATGCAGGGCAAGTGGCGTTGAGCACCTCGGAGCACCACTGTTGGGTCTTATTGGGTCTTTGAAGATCATGAAAGCGATGTTTGGTCCCACGAAACAGAAACAACACCTCATTCCACAAAACAAACATGCAAAAACCATGCCGAACAAGCTCACCGGGGTGCCGCGAAATATGTGAAGGCAATGAAGAAGAGATAGACGAAGACCCACGCAAGAGATATGACACGCAACGGTGCCAAAACGTGCTCCCAGCTCACCCCATTGGAGATGCTCATGAACAAGGTCAACATGGTATTCTGGACTGAACCTTGGATGTGCTGCCCATGGTTTGTGTTTAAAAACAAAAACAGCCAAACATCCCCCTTCATTGGGGGGATTGACCCGCAGGGACCATCAAACAGTATCTATTCTGCAAGCCCTGCATCAACTAAACCAGGGAACCAAAGTACTTGTCCACCGCCTGAGTCTCTGTGACTCCCATTCCTGTCGCTTGCTCCAGCATGTGGTCGTTCACCACTTGCGCTAGCAATACCGCAAAGGCGTACATGATCAGGACCAGTAAGACCTAAGGTGACAACGCAAAAAAAAAAAACATAGCTCCTCGGGGCAGGCTCTTCTTGCAGCGGTTGTGTTTGAATCACTTGTTTAAAAAAAGACCAAATGGGCTCCAAAAATGATCAGCCTACACCCGAGAGAAACTGCTCTTCGACCAGGAAGAAGAGGAGTCCAGCCAGGTCGGGATTGGGGGTCAGACCGATTGGTGGTAGATGCTTCAGACCCCGAAGGTCCGTTCGGTCTAAAGAAAGTTGGGTAAGTTCAATAGTTTTGGTGAAGCCTCGGGCAAAGTGGAGAAGAAAGGGGCCCAAGGACACACCTGGACCCGGACAAGTCTCCGGACACGGAAAGGTCCTCTAGGCGCGGCGCCTGGCATGTACACACGGACCCGGACAAGTTTCCTAAGAGAGAACCCCAACAGAAATTCAGAAACTGTCTGCGAAAAAGAAGTCCAAGGGCAAACTGTTTTTCCCCTCATGCTGCATGATCGCAGGCCCGGACTAATGCCTGACCACAGTGAGACACTAACCGGCAAACTACGAACGAAATGAGCGAGCGAAAAGGTTTCAAGGCATGCACGAACCAAAATGCGGAAACAGCCTCTAAGAGGGTGAGCATCAACACAAAGTGACCTAATTAATCCGGGAAAGTACTACGAAGTGGTCCCTTAGGGGGAAGCTTTGCAAGAAAAGCCTGGAAGGCAGAAACCGCAGCGTGCTCAAAAACACACCTGGCCCCAATACCAGAGGCTCGAAAACAAGCGCCAAGACCCCACAGGGATCTCGAGAAGGCCACGCGATCGGCAGGGAACACGGACGATCCCAGGTTCTGTTTGGCGAAAAAAACAGCGGACTGTTCGGGGAATGGGAAAGCAACAATAAATTTCCCACCCACAAATCCACCACTTGCCCAATCTTGCCCAATCTCATCAAGAGGCCATGGCCCAGAATAGAGACTTCAGGGTGTGCATGATGGAGGTGATCAACATCCTGCAGGGTGAGGAGGCCATCCCTTGGTCAAACTAACATCTACAGCCCTCTTGTATCCTTTTGTATCTTTCTTCCGCCCCCCCGGCCCATGTCAGCCCAGTGAACCTGTGAGCAGCATGACTTCCAAACAGGTTTCTCTCACGGATCGCTCCCCCGCACTCCATTCCTCAAGGCCATGATGAAGCGAAAGATCCGCATCAGCCGCACCGCCTTGACGATCCGCGTGATGCGGATAATGCGGAAGGCCTTGAAGCTGGACCTCGGCTCTTCGGGCTGCGCCGTCCGGTCCTTTGAGAGACGGTGGATGAGTTGTCCATTCACGCGACCATTGGTTTGGGGGCCTTGGGCAATGTATCTTCCAAGTCTCCAAAGGTTCCTGCGTGCAAAGTGCAAACGGAGCTGAAAACGGGCGAGACCTGTCTAAAGAGGCGACTGTTGTATTGAGAAACATTGGGAGGGCTCCTTAATGTGCTCATTGTACATCTTTGCTTGCACAGCAGGGCTGTTTCAAGGGAAACACTGTATCTACACTAAGCGACAAAACGTGTTGAGACTGTTGAAAACTGCCTGAAATCCCGACTGTAAATGGCTGCGAAATCCTCTCTGCCACAAGAGCAGGGAAAACTACAGCTGTGCCAACTTCTCTAGGCGACATCTCGCTGAAGCCCTGTGTCACACCATTGTCGCGCCAGAAATAAAGGATGTCCTTGGTCGAGGGCCGCGAAAGGCTTCGGTGATCGGACCTTGGCGGTGAAGCAAGAACGAAGCACCAAAACCCCGTGGGGGCCACCCCCAGAGCACGGCGTGCCCGCGAAGCCGCTGGACAGATCCTTTGGTCGGATCGGCTCCGGGACAATCGACCCGAAAACCTGTTTAAACAGGGGATGAAGCCTCTGGTATGTATATGCACTTGAATGAACCCTTGCTCCGTACAGGCTGCTTTTTGTCAAATCAGCCCGTGCCCTATGACTGAAAAGGCATGCAAGCCCCACTAGACCTCTGTAGTGCTTCAAGCACTCAAGAAACTTCACCCAAGCACCTATGGCTCCCTTCCACGCGCTCCTGACTGGCTCGGTGACACTTAAAGAAGTCTTCCAGAGCACAACGAACAGGGCGTTGGGAAAGAGGGGGTAAAGTGAGTGTGATCAGGTTTGCAACGCTGTATCTAGATGTGAGTAGTTGGTCAATGGTGGTGCCATTCCTGTAGGCTGTAGAGGCACCACCCCTGCGTAAGCTGTACGGTTTAAAACAAAAAAGAATCTAGGTGCAAACAGGCTACAAGTTGATGCCACAGAGTCATAAACTCATATCAGCTACCTTTCCAACAGTTGCCAGGCTTGGTGTTCTTGAGAATATTTCAGGGATCTGATGCAGGTAGACTCTGCGAGCTCTACCCTTTCCAAGGGGAGGAATTTCCTCTTGGCTCCTTTCGACGTGGGTAGGAATAAGATAGCTTTGTCTTTTCCAAGTGTCACGTGCTCACATTGAAGAGCTGGCAGTTCCCCCGTTCTCAAGAAAGCTGCTAAGGCAACTATCAGCAAATGTGCAACGGTGTGCTGGCCCTAACGAAAAGCGGTCACCACAAAAGCCATTAATAGCCGAGTCGACAAGGGTGTGACCTTCTAAGGCACTTCCACCTGGTTTCAAGCTTTCACTAACTTCCATGACAATGGGCATCCTCGTCTTCGTTTGCGGACGGAAATACTGAATCGCAGCCAGTGTGTAGTTTGCTGAACTCTTAGTAGCCCCTGATTGCCAAAGTTCTTCAATGATTTCTCCTACCATCTCATCAAAGATTTCAAAAGTCAGCATAGCAACACAAGGGAGAAGTTGGTGAAAACGTCTGAAATCATCATAGGCTTCTTTGTACCTATTCTCAGTATGTTGTGAAACAGCCTGATTGCGCAAAGTTCCGCTTCTTTTCCTCTCTTCGGCTCTCCCTCGCTTCGTACGGCGGCTCTGTACTTGAAGTGCCTTACGGGGCATGACGCCTGGAAGGTTCATCCGCTGGGTTTCGATCGCCCTCAACCCAGCCTAAGATTGGGATGATTCCTCCGGCCAACTGCAGCGCGCCATACAAGCCGGTTCAGGATGCGAGACGATGATCGTCCTTTGACGGCCACCGCCAGCACCACTCGGCTGTCGACTAAATGCAAAGCTCGACAGCATCCAAATTTTGAACCGCGCAACCTCCATGCCAAACTTGACACCAATGCCTTCATCTCCAGAACATTTTTGTGTTCCGGAACCAGAAAAGCGTAACTGTGTCCTTCGCGCCATTGCCAACGATTCACATCAATGTCTGCCGCGGAAACGAGTCAGGCCTGTAGAGGCTCGCGAGGTCTAAGTGAACACCAGATCCCCTGTATTCTTGCCTCTTGGCGAACGCTGACACAAGTCTTGTGCTCAGCTGCTTTTCCTCCGTTGGGTAGACTCGAGGCTGTCATCCACAGGCCTTGAGCAACTCTTCACCTGCCAGAGTCTCGGTGGCACTTTCCTCGTCTTCCTTACGGTCACGGCGAGTCTTTGTCGCTTCAAGCGGACCTGCGCCCTCCTCAGCTGGCTCTTCGGCTTCCTCCTCCAACTTAACCTGCAGGAAACGTTGCATTGACTCATTGATGTGGGCTTGTGCAATCGTCACTGGTCCTCTGATGCCCTTCAGCCTCATGGCTCCCAGGACTTGGTCAAACAGTATGGCCACCGTCGTAACATGGAAGGAGTTGCCCAGCGCGGAACACCTCACATCCTCCGCTGCCTGGCTTTCAGCTAACGTGGTAGGTGCCTTCTTCAACATCGCTGTCGTGTAGTGACGTGGGAAACCCATCAGCACCTCCCTCTCCTCAGCAGCCAATGGCCTTTCTTCGAAAGCCTGGGTGACCACCATGTACTTCTGAGCGTAGGTGTAAGGAGGATACCTGAACTAAACTCATCTCTCACCCAGCGACCCTGACCTTCAGAGGAAGTGGATCGAAGTCCGGCGCGACCTGGAAGTGGTTTCTTGCGCTCACCAGGGGCTCTGACTCAACTCCCTTGATGATCAGCTTGTCAAACAGCTCATGGCACTTCCAATCAAAATACTCTTGCTCTGGAATAGGCCGTGAGATCCTCTCTCCTTTGCCACCTGGTAAAAGAGCTTGAAAATCCTCACGGCCTCAAAGAACAAACTTGGTGCAGGGGTCATCGAGGTGCTCACGGGTGCTATAGACAGGCGGCTGAGCCCTTGACAGGGCATGCTTCCCCCAGCGATGATCCCTTTGCATTTGGCACTTCTCCAAAGCCCTTGCCAGTTCTTCCTTTTGGAAGGCTTTGATGTCACTCACAAAGTGCATTCCAGGCGACGACTCCTCAACAAACGTCTGCATTCTTTATCTTTCTCGATGAACACTATCTGCTCTCCTGAGGGGCCACTCGAACCTTTCAGGTGACCCCGGCCTGAAGCTCACCATCCAGCAATGCTTTGGCCTCTTCCCTTCCAGACCATGTCAACCTGGCAGAATACATCATGCCTCCGCCGGTTTCCGATGCATCTGAGCAGGTCACCAACGGATCAATTCGTGCTCTAAGGTTGGTCCGCGGTAGCGGCAGGAAACACTCAACCAGGAACTCGTGCAAAAGGGCTGTCGCCCACTTGGTCTTTTCCCGCTCGTCCATGATGTCCATAAGGATGCCATGCTTGCCATCAATGAGCGCTCCGAGTTTCCCAGCCTCTCGGCACTGAAACAGCGCCTTCTCCTCATTCACCGGGATTCCCCACCAGGCATAGGCTCGACGAAAGCGCTCTTGAATCTGAGGTGGCTGACCTTGCAATGACTCTTCAACTGCCGTGTTCAACTCCCACTTTGCAACGTGATGGTGGGCAATCACAGACATGGAAGCAAGCTCCGTGGGGAAGTTTGCGACCCACATACCAAGCATAGTCAACATCAGACACGCCCTCGTGCTGGCCGGAGAAGACCCCTTGATCCAACCTTGAACTTTAACTATGCCAATGGCTTGTGGAGCGCCGGTGTCATCTCTACATTCGTACTCGATGTAGGACGGGTCTGGTCCACCTTTCAACCAGGCCGCAGCTACCTCAGGTGCTCGACGACCACCGCTCCCAATGGCAAAGGTCACAAGGGTCTCCTCCTCTTCAAGACCATTGAGAAGAACAAAGGGGATCCGCTCAGCTTCAAGCCCCTGTTCCTCACCATATTTCTTCAGCACTTCGAGGGCTGAACTCATCTGCCTGACCCAAATCCTCAGGGATCTTTGGTTCCGTTGGGAGGGAATCTTTCCTCCCTCCGTTGGGAGGAAGTCCACTCTCCCCGACCAAAATCCTCAGGGATCTTTGGCTCCGTTGGGAGGGACTCAACTCTAGGTCTGTCCTCTCAAGAGTCTCAGACCCAGGTCCTCAGCCGCTCCGGCCCTCACTGAGCCGACACTTCACGGGTTCAAAGCGTGCATGCCCCTGCAAAGCAGAACACATATTATGTATGTATACACGACGAGTAAAACGACATTGCCTGGAACATCAATCAGAAATTCACCTTCCTCTGATCCCCTTCCAAGCGATCAGTGCTTTTGAGCTTTTTTGGGTCTGACAGGTCTTTCATGGTCTCTCTGGTGGCACTCACAGCTCTGCATTGGCATCAACTCAGCCTTTGGTTGCTTAGTTTTAATTTGATAGAAATGGGTTTTGTTAGTCTGGTTTTCCACCAACCCCAGTCGGGTTCCAACCTCAACCAAACAGAAGGTGTTGTTCAACACGTACTCTAGAGCAGGCCTAGTCTCCATCACGATGTCCCACAAGGAGCTTATCACGATGAAGGTGTCTAGTGCTGCCCACATCCAATCTTCCGAGCAAAAGAATCTGAGACCTCCCGAAGCACCGGACACCCGCGAGACCCCCCATCTCCGACTTTCGCCAGAGGACAGACGTTTCTGGTGAGCTCATGCAAAGGGTGAAACGATGAGAACCAAGATCGAATTGAGGATGGTGGGCCAAAGAATAGCCAAATGGCCAGCTTCTTGCTACTTTCCAGATGCCAAGTTTTTGGATTGCGCAACTGGCCAACAACTTGGGGCGTTGTCAGCTTAGATTCTTCCAAGTGCGCAAGTGATGTTCCTTGACTTCTTCCACTGCTGGATTAGGTGTGCATGTCCAAAGTGTCCGCATAGCCACCAAACCCCCTCAACGTTCCAAAGGACTCAGAAAATCTTGGAGCAAAACAGCAGTTGCCCTGAGCTGGCAGTTGTCAAGAACAGGATATGATGGAGTTAATGATGCAGGAGATAAGGCTTTGAGACCGTTGCCGGATTTGAGTTGGAAGGCTTGGAAACTCCAACTTCCTCTTCCATGGTCCATGCTTGGTTGGGAGCAGTATGGTGTGGTCCCTTCACTGAGTGCATGCTCTCCAGCCTTGAGCGGCAAGCCGTATAGCAAGCTCGACGATGAAGGCTAAAGTGAAGATGTAGTGGCCAATGTGAAAGCCAATCTCGCTAGAATTTGGATAATTGATGGAGTGCTGCACATCGAATCCAATATAAACCTCATGAGATGGGTCAGGGTCACGTGGTCCAAGTACGCAAATGCGCAGCCGGGCTTCGAGACGGTTTGATGTGGAACATGCCATGATTGCTGAGGTCATTTATTCCCCTGTACAGTCACCCTTTTTTCAGTGTCACCCCTACAGATCCTCCTTGAACATGTTTTGGGAATCTTTCTGCGACCGACACTTGGGATGGCTCCAACCACCTACTGGTCAGATCGCGAAAGAACCGCTGGACACTCGGGACTCGAGATGCTCTTGGATAAGAAGAGTGATGATTCTTGGGCGATGGAAAGCTCAAGTTCTGTCCAACGTCCAACAGGTTTTCATGGATAGGTTCCCAGGATCCTGCAGCCGGGTTGCAGTATTGGCAATGACCTGGGTAATATTGGGCCACAAGACGCGGGTGTCTTTCAGTCCAAGAAGCAAAATAAACCAAAAACCACCACGCACTGTGGTCGAGTCTGAATCCATGTACCAGCTGACATCATGTGGTTTTGGAATCCTCTTCCGCCCAAACTAGAATTCACTGGCTGCTGCAAACCTGAGGGGTTCTGACTCCTGTCAGAGTAACAAGTCCGAGGGGTCCTTCTACCTCTGTCCCATACTTACACAAAAACAGCAGGTTCCAAGATCTATGCAACGCTTAAAGCAGCTAAAGGTAGTATTAGTATTGCAAATCTCAAGGCCTAGAGCATCCGCGACACCAAAGCTCCGAGGTAAGATCTGCAACACCACTTGAATAGTGACTTGGTGTTTTCCTTCCAGCCTTTTACTCTGCAAAGCCAATCATCAAACTGCTGAGAGTTTGTTCAAGGAAGTCAATCATTTGGCTGCACAATATCCATTGGCTGCACATTAGAAACGTTTCCTTGACGTTACATGTTCCTTCTCTAACTGTGGAAACATAGCAGCCTTGCCACAGTAAATGCGAAGAATGCGTCGAACGCAGGCTGTTGCAAAATCCTGAAGGCACCAAACGTGAAGCATCTCAGCATCTCTTGATTCCAAATGAATCCTAAGACAGGTATCTCTTAGCTCAAAGTGGAAAGCCGCAAACACACATTCATCCTGACTCGAACACTACTAGTATCCTGACTCGACTCCCAGAACGGCCCGGAACCAGGAATCATGTGGGGACACATTCTCTCTTCACTGTGTTCTTGCTTGATTTTCGCTTGGGGGTAACATGGACATCCACCCGGAGTCCACCGCAGTCCACCGCAGTCCACATTCTCAGGTGTTCATGGCTTCTCAGTCCCGGAGCATCTGTTCGATGTGGTTTGAGCCATCATCCATGTTCCAACGAGCCTCTCCAATGGTCCGGATCCGTCCATGACCCCGCCTTTGAGCTAGCGGCTCCTTGACCTCGTTATCAATGTTCTCGCTCTTGAGGGATGCAAACCTGCCACGGATGAGCTGTGTGGAATTCTGAAGGCTGGGCCAACATTGGGAGAACCTCTAAGGCAGAAAGGACCCTGCGAAGCCGTTGAGAAGATCAAAGGCTGGGCGTCTTGAAGCGTGGGCTGAAACGTGGGCATGGCATAACGTGCCTCTTTTCTGCGCCAAGGTGAAAGCAGCTAAGAGTGGATTTACTCGTCCCAATCTGAAGTTGGCTGATCTCTACTCAAACCCTTGCCGACCATCGCCCACCAGTCCCAAACCGCTCCGCATTGATCCCGAAGCTCACTGAGCCCACGAGCTTTCTTCTGGAGCGCACAGCATGCATATATTGGGCTCCATGCTTCAATGCCAGGTCCGCCCTCGGCGCTCTGCGTCACACTGCTTCAGCCGAGGTTGGGATTGACCAATGGCTTCTTGGTCAGATGAGAGCACCAACTAACATGAAAGTGGAAAATGGTCCCTTGGAAGACTTCTTTCCTTTACAAACAGTATATTTTCCACTTCCATGTTAGTGAGTCGGAGTGTATATCACTTTGGTACATGACGTGCTATGAATAGATGAGTCATTTGAACCATTCCCCAAATGCCCCAACTGGTCCACCCTTCTACCAAAGGGCGCAGGTGCGCAGCCCATCTAAACTCATAATGGAGAGTGGACATTCATACTCCCGAATATCTACAGGAGGATTGTCTCCAAATCACACAGTCCTAAATGGACATTTTCCTCACTTTGTCTAATCCCCCTCGTCCAGGGCACTGCGTGTAGGTCGTGAAGAACGTGGGGGTGAAGGACCCCTTCCGCGAGGAGTGCCTTGAGCTCCGGCGCCTTCTGGTCACTGACCGACTGCCGGTGCCACGACTGCTGCTGAGGCGGCTCGGCGAGGAGCCCACGGAAGATCTCGGCCGTGGAGACGGTCCAAACGAGGGCGAATCAGAGTGGAAAACAAGGTTGGGTCACGAAACTGGGGTGCTGACCTAGTGGAACAGTGGCACATGTGACCCGTGGTTCTTTTTTGCCCTTCTTATGTGTTTTGCCGTTCTTTGCTGTTCTTCCCATCCAGCTGCTGGTGCTGCCTCGTCCGTACGTGACAGCACCAACAAAGTTCGGGTTTTCCACCGCTGGTTTCGTAGCTCCACAGGTGCCAGCTTTACAGGCGGTTTTTGCCTTTACCTGTTTCACGAGCACTGGATTGTGTAACCAAAGCCATTCGCTTGAAAAAATATGAAACTGGATGTCAAACAGTCAAACAATTATATACCTAGCAGCTTGTAGTGAGGACTACGCTTTCGATAACTGTCTTCAGAGATGTTCTATCCAGCTGGCGCAGTCGAAGTGACACTTCAGTCCAAGGATTTTCTAGGAGAAACATGGTTTAGTCAGGAGCAATGAGATTTGCAGCCCAGTGTGATATGAACCAAACAAACACCTGGATGACTCAATGTCAAAAAAACATGTTTCCCAACAAAAAGTTATTTGCCAACCCCCCCATTAACCCACTATATATATATATATATGGGCTCGTGGACTTTTCGGGGCCCCCTGAGAAGCAATTCATGTTGAATCATTTGATCCAACTGTATTAAATCCTTTAACTATTCATCTGATCCAACTGTATCATCTGATTCACCTGTATCATCTGCTCCAACTGATTCATCTGATCAATGCAGTTCATCTCCTCACAAATCAATCCTTTGCAAACAGAGCAGCCATTTACTTCAACTAATTAATTAATGCGACTTGCAATAGTGAGAGACCGACTTATGACAATCAGTGGGTGGAAGGGGGAGGGGGGGGGTACTATGTAACTTGTGACAGTCAATGGAGGGAGGGTGAGGGGTAAGTTCCCCCGTAGGTGGCAGTTGCTTAACTGGACCTGATCGAAACACCAAGTGAAGTCACACGAATGCGATCGGTGTGCGAGCGGCAGCGATGCACACCTTTTCTATGGCTGCGGATGCAGGTATTGGGCTACTAAGTCTTCTTGAGCCTTGAGCCTTGAGCCAAATGAATTAGGTCGAAAGCGGACTGAAGAGCTACAAACTAGTCTATACAAGATAACAGGCGCTACACATGTATAGCGTAGACACGCCTAGGGGACCTAGGACCCTACCAAACACAGAGCGGGGGGGGTAGTATGTAAGTTGGACAGTTAGTGGAGGGGGGGGTAGGATGAGACTTATGATAGAATAATGCTAATATTGAAATAATATGCGAGTACCCCCCCTCCCCCTTCGAGGCTTAAGAGTTCTCAGCCCCCCCCCACCTCAGCTGAAAAAGGAATTGTTTATAAACAAGATGGTTGTTTATAAACATTGGTTTGTTTAGCATATTTGCTCGAACTAGTTTGTCAGCAACTGCTTCTTACCTCCAATCTTGTGCCATGGAAGCTGCCATGATGGAAGGTAACAACGCATATGTGAAGTACACGCAAACACACAAGCATACAAAAGTTTCGGATGGCACAGTGTCCATTGATCAACTATTTCTGATCGAAGTGGAGCCCAAATCCAAAAAGTCCTTCAAGGAGTTCTTCGAAGTAGTTCGTGATGTGTCTGAAGAGGATGTGACTGCTATTCATTCCATCATGAGCAACGCATCGCCAAAATATGGTCATCTACCTCCAGCTGTCCGTCCATGTGATGCTCTTGGTGACTCCTGTGTGCTTCAGCTGATCTTGGAGAAATCCACCAATGTCTCCTGGACAGTTTTGAAGTTCTACCACTCTACAGTTTCCATTCCCATGGGTTTAGCAAAAACTCTGTGCAACAACAATGTCCTCGTCATCGACTACAAGATTTGCTCAAATTCTGACATCGTCAAGAAGGGCTTTATGAAAATGTTGGGCAAGATTTCAGGAGACCAGTGGCTCACACAAGAGATAGTCGACAAGCCAAAGGTTCATCGGCACACATCCAAGGATGGTGACGCTCTGACTGGTGTTCATAGAGCGATGCGCACTTTCAGACACAGTCCATTTGATTCATGATTGTAAGCTGCGCTTCCAAGATGAGTTTTCTTGCAGTTACAATCAGATGTCACTTGATTGTAAACTGTGTTCACAAGAAGATCTTCCCTTGCATGTTGTTCTTGCATTTTCATTCTTTGCACATCTTACGCGAAGTAGCCTCTCGAGCACTGCCTTGGTAGTTGTCATATCTGCGCAAAATGCTTTCCAGATCAGTTCGAAGGAGGCCTGCCCAACAAAGCTCTGCAGGTCTGTTTCGGCCGCTGACTCATGCAGAATACCGAAGTGAAGTTTGTGAAGGTTGGTTTGCATCATCTCCAGCTTTGACTTTACATGCGCTGGGGCCTCCATTGTGCTCAGAGAATGAACTCACTGATTGTACTTCACTACGGGGCACTGTGATTGCTTTGTCTCTTGGGTTGATCCCTGATGTCAAGATTTGCCCAAACAACAAGAAGCACTCGGTGAAGTTGGCTGAGGAACGGGAAGATGAAGAACTACGTTATAGATGGCGTTGCTGTCAACGAGGTCACAAATGCTTTCGTTCTTCCCTTTGTCCTACAGGTCTTCTGTCCAAAGTGTCTTGCTCCATGTGGTTGCCTTTCTTGCACTTCTCCAACGCAATGCGGCAAAACTACAGGTGGATCAAAATTCAGTCTGAGCTTCAGTCTATCTTTGGGAACAGCTTTTCTGACAAGACCATGCGCCGATGGCGGACATTATACCAGTCCTCTTTGCAGAACTACCTCTTGCGCCACAGCAGCATGATCATTGGCGCTACTCCTGGAGATGTCGTGGTCTTTGATGAGACAAACTTGGGCAGTCAACGGGGCATTTCGAAGTCATCATCATCTGGTCGCAGAGAGAACAAAGGCTACGACCTCGCAACGTGTGGCAAAGAGACTTCCAGCGCAAACCGTTCACCGGCGTCCAGCCGCTCATCTGCGCTGGCCTGCCGCTGCTCCTCTTCGTCGGCCTGCTGCTGCTCCTCTTCGTCGGCCTGCTGCTGCTCCTCTTCGCCGGCCTGCTGCGGTGATGAAGTCTGTCCAACAAACACAAGGTGGGTACTGAGAAGGACACCCGCTCCCAGGGCCGATGGCTCTTTGCGGCAGTTCTTGTTGGAAACGAAGACAAGATATACACATGAGAACGGAAAAAAACGTTTTTCCTTTACCATCTTGCCAAAGCCTGCTTTTGCTGCAGATCACAAATCGCGGGGTACCAGTCGTGCATTGCCAAGCAGGCGTTTGTCGTACATGACGCTTGGAAAGCATCCACTGCCGCCATCAAAAGTCTTGGGCTGAAGGCGGCTCCGCCCATCAACCACTCGACTGGTTGGAGAGATGCCAATACTGGATTCCATTCAAACGATATTGAGTCCGAGTTTTCTCGTCTCAAGACCATGGTGAGAGAGCGGTATGGTAGATTATGCTTCCAGTCCACAGCTTCAATTGAAGCAGAAGACGAAGTAGATGTAGGGGATCTGTTTGAGTACACGTTCAGAGTCAACATTGGCAACTCATTTCAATCAATGCTGAATGCCTTTGTCTTGTCACCACCTTAGCATTCATCTGTGTACTCTGTCTGACCAACGGTATGGGTATAGATTGCAATGCAATCTGCTGCAGTAGCTTTACACAAAAATGTCATGTCTTTAGTGTCTGCATCTGCAAGGTATGTTCTTGTAGTGGTTTTTGTGTTTGTGTGTGTGTGTTTTCTCGCATGATTACTTCAATGTCATTTGACATTAAGCATATAGCTTTATGTCGTGGGTATCTGTATTTGATTACTCTTGTCTACCTTTGGTGGCAGTTTGCGTGTTTATAAACACTGACTACTGTTTATAAACACACCACTTCTTCATTGATGAAGTTACCTTGGTAGTGACTGGCTCCAGCTCAAGTCTGTATCAGTGTCATCATGGCGCCCAAGAAGGTGATGTTTGTGGCTATGGGTTCTGAAGTAGAACCTGGGCGGTCTTCGTTCGATCTTCAGACTGTGGACCCTGTCATCTACCGTCCAGACCCAAGGACTGATGCTGAGCCGTCAGTGCCAGTGCCCAATGCCCATGAACTCCACCTGGACCTCGTCAGTGGCCGCAAAGCAGCGTGTGAGTCAAAAA